AGTCACCCGCTACCATGTAGGCATTGCTATCAGCGCCCATGCGAACGCTGCTGTAGGTACTGCCGCACTCCTTATTCACGGCTGCCTCGTAGTCACCGCACTTCATGGTGCCAAAGTTGTTCTGAGAGACAGCCTCAGCATAGTAGGTCACGGAGCGGCCGTGGGAGCAGGCACCAGTCACATCCATGACGCAACCCGGCTGGGTTTTGCCTCCGTTGGGGTAGAAAGCGCCCTTGCCAATGGGCTTGAGAAAGCCCAGCTTGCCGCCGTTGGTCTGAATGGACTCGACGTAGAAGGCATCGTCAGAGTTGAGGCGTTTGTTGGGCTTGTTGTAGCTGAACAGGGGCAGAGCGGGGTCCAGACCGATGATGGTATGCACCTGGCCGTTGGTGTTCTTGCCAGTATAGCCAGCGACATGGGCGCCCAAACTATGTCCAATGACGTACAGAGTGTCGAGTCTCAATCCATGGTCGGAGACAAGGTAGTTGATCATGTTGGCGACCTTCTTGCCCACGGTGGGTACAGCCACAACGGAGGAAGCGTATTCGACAGAACGTGCACGAGCCCAGTCCACGACGATGACGTTGTAGTCACCATTGCTTAGCCAGGCGTCACGAATATTCTTGTTCATGCCCGATGAACTGCTCTGGGTCCAGCCGTGAATGATAACTCTGTAAATAGGTAATGGATGAGGAATCACTTGATTAGCTATTTCTATTAGAGAGTTCCACGCATTTTAGGTAATATTTACCTGGTTGGGTTATTGGCATTGAAGTTTGATTTTGCAATGGATTTGCTGGTCGCTGTGATCTTGGTGCCCTTGGTGGGGTTCGACTTAGTGAACAGGTAGAATTTGACGGGAGTTGTGGTCAGTGCGCGCGTCTCTTGCATCTCGAGTTCTTGAAGCCGAAGCTCTGCGTCATCCTTGTCCATCCAAAAGAAGCTGCCATCTTGTCTGGGTATATACCAGCCATTCTCTCCATTCTCCCGTTCGGACTCAGGGATAGCACAGACCGAAGCTGTATAGGAATTGAAAGCATTTGTTAAAGAGCTGAGCAAACTCTGCGTATTAATTAAAATTACCGGCCAGCGCACAGAAAGTCAGGAGCCAAATAGTCTTCATATTGTTTGTGAGGTCTTTCGACTGATAAGGAGTTTCGACCAGCTATGGTCTTTTATAGGCTAGACCGAAGAACTTATCGCTTGGGCCGCCGTCTAATCAGACTTCAGGCAAAAAATGATCATCTGATAGGCATTGTCCAAAATGCTAAAAGTCTTTAATTGATCTTTTAATTGACATTTCATGCCGTACAATAATTCAACCTGGCTCTGCAGGGGTACACTGGGAGCCAAAAATAAACTCTCTCAAGTACTTCAGCGTGATTAGAATATATGCAAACTGCACATACTTAAGTGCGCCTTAGTTATGATTAAATATCTTTGGCGGCGTGAATAACAATCAGTTTTGGAATTGACGCAAGCAGCATTTAAGGCACGAGAGCTCTACCTTATCAGTGGAAATAGTATTAGAGGTCTGGGCCCGTGCCTCAACCCTATCTAAATCGATTACACTTGTTTACACTACTGTTAATCTGCTGTAAGTAGCGCTCTTGAGGGCTATGTGGGCTTGAGTAGTGGATATAGCCCTGACTTTTTATATGTGAAAATGTTAGTAGGAAGCACAATAAGCTTATTTCATTAACTTTGCTTCTATATTTTAGACTTGAGTGCAAGGGAATTTGATCCATATTGAGACCCCGATGCAAACATGCATTACGGCTGCGAGTATTTTGGCGCATGGCCTTTTTTTCTTTTTTTTTCTGAGTGTGAATGAACACTGTAAACAATGGGCGGCTGATCTAACAAGAGACTCAATTCGGTTAGACAGTTCCGGCCCAGCCACCCACTGCCCCTCTCTTAA